GGCTCTTTCATTATATTTTAATTTGTAATTTATTACTAAATCAAATATTTTTTCAATATGTATATATATTAAAAATTATTAACTCTTTTTGGTATATTTTTATGTCAAAAATAAGATAAAATACACGTACAGAGAGACTAGTTATGAAAAATATAGGTGCAATGGTAAAGTATTTACTCAAGATGGATTGACATTATAAATGTAAGACTTCAAGAATGAAGTATAATAGTTGCATTTGAATTCCTTAAACTTCGTTTTTTTTCTTATTTCCTCTTTTTCTTTTGGACAATTGGTTACTCAGAAGTCAAATACATCTATATATATATATATATATATATATATATATATAAAGCTGGGCAATCAAAGAGCTTATGTGGCAGGCCTCACAAGCCAGGAAATCTATTTTCCAATTTTCTCAGATTTTAGCCATTTTCGGTTTTTCTCTTCCTTCAAAATCTATCACGTCTCTTAAATTCTGAAACGGTCCACTAATTCATCCATAACTGTTCACTCATTCTCTTTAACTTCTCGCATCTCTTTCTATTTTAACCAACTCGCACCTCTACATGTACTGATGAATTTCGACGGATTCTATTCTTCTTTCTATTCTGATTCTATTCTTTTTTCTTCCTTCTTTCTCTAGCTCTTTCTCTCTTCCTGATTTTGAAATTTCGTTGTCCTATTCTTGCAGATATTCACTAATGTGAGTTTAATACCAAGTCAAGGTAATTATGCATTACAATGATTTTAGTTGTTACTTAAAATTTTATCATAACAACTTCAATGAAAATTTATGATTGTGTAAATTTCTACTGATGATTTTTGCTTTTTACGGAAGTGGGTAAGATACTATGACTCTATAAGTAAGGATGTAATAGCAATTTGGATCTCAATGTGATCTTTCCCTCTAGCTACTTCTACCTATTAACGATTTATTCTTTCCATGTTATTACTGCTTATTGACAATGTTATCCCTTTCTTAAGAAAAGAGGTTTATGATTTGATTTGTTCCCATGCTATTTTTGATTTATGCCATGTTAGTTGGAACTTCTCTCTTCATTTTCGCTTTATTGCATTTACCAGGTAATTGAATCTCACTTCTAATTTTATGCTCTGATGGAGTATGCGAGAAAAGAGATTTTGGGTTTATCTTTACTTTCATTTAATTGCATTTTTTTCTCCTTTGTCCAAAAAGTCTTCACATTTTTTTTCTTCTCAAATCAATTTTGAATAGAAATACTGTGCAAGTTAATTTTCCAAATTCCAAGGTTTTTGTGCATTCCTACAGGTCTTGATAATACTAAATGAAAATTTTAGGTAAATTAGTTCCTGCTAGGATTTTAGAGTAAGAACGTGGAGTCGGAGCATGAGATTTTCAATTAAGCTTTTACATAAGGCGACTGGGCATCTTCTAAGGTCTGCTTCCTTTTGTTGCTTAGCTTTATCAGATAAATTTTGCTGTTGTTATCAGATATAATTTGCTGTTAGGATATGATGTCAAGGTTTTTCCATATACTGATGTTTTCTTCATATTTAGTAGTAAGATGATGAAAAAGCTCATGAATCATGTAGCATTGTAAGAATTCAATTGGTTTAATGATTGCTGTAGATACCTCTAATTGAATTATGGGGAATCGTTAAATCTTTTTCATTCCCTTGGCAGTTCGCTTTAAAAGAAATCTCCAGTTTTCCTTTGTACTTAAATTCAACGTAAGGGAGTTTGATTGATTAAAAATCTAGAAAAGAGTTCCACTTGTCAGGCAGTTTATATCACTTCAATATTCTTATGCAGTTACAAATCAGATAGAGATCAATTTTATACATATGTCATATGAAGCCATGCAAATTTTTTTTTTCTTCTTTTATCTCATTTTTTTGGCATTTTCCCTGCTTTTTATGTAATATCTCAAATTTTTTCCAATTTTCCCCTTAATTTCCTTTCATCACTTTCACTTTTTATTCTCTCTTTCAGTTTTTACATTTAATTTTCAGTTACCTCCTTCTCATGATTCCATTATCCCATTTAACATCCTCACATAAAGTATCAGTTACAAAATAGGTAATCGTTGCTTTTGGAAAACAATACGAAGAAACGTTTCATTTTTAAAGAATCTATATATGCTGCATTCTTGCTCACGTATTTGAAGGCTTCCAAAGCTTTCGAGTATTAGATTGGTTTTGAGACATTTTCAATTACTGAGACCAACAATGTTAATTATCTTTGCTTTCTCAATTTTACCTTTCCCCTTAATTACTTCTTCTGCTATTATTTTTTTTCTTTGCTTTCGAGTATTAGATTGACGTTGAGACATTTTCAATTACTGCAACCAGCAATGTTAATTATCTCTGCTTTCTCAATTTTACCTTTCCCCTTAATTACCTCTTCTGTTAGTATCTTTTTCTTCTATTTAGAAAGGAATGTCTGGACTTTCTTTTCGATTACAAATTTATGGTTGCATGAGTCTAGAATTCTTCTTTGTTGTTGTTTTCTTTTGCAGATGGGAGAGGCGTCATGTTTTCTATGCTCTATATGGAGATTTTCTCAAGCGAACAATCTATGAGGTTATGTGATTTACATATGACTAATTCAATAATTCGATGTCGAACATAATTCTTTTTCGAGGGAATTTCTTAAGAGGGAATCAATATATTTGAAAGTTAACCATTTAAATTTGACTACAAGTGTTTATTGACTTTATACCAGAAGCTTTTATTGACTTTATGCTAATTAGAACCTAAAATCGGTATTTACTCATATATTTTTTATAACGCCTCTATGAAATTTAAATTTTTATGATACATCTAAATATGCTTTATTTGCTTTTGTAATTGTATTTTTGGATCTTTAACCATTTTAATTTTTGTATAATGTGCAGGTTGCCGAGCTATCGACTATATGAATGAATGTAACTTTGTTGAATGGGGCAAGTAGGGTCCTTCCTCAAGACAACCTTTCTTCATTAAACCGATTCCTTTCTTTTTGTTTTTTCTGCGTGATAAAAATGTATAAACATTTTCCTATATTTTTCGAGCATCTTATGTTACATACCTTCATCATGGTATGAGTTTCTTAAAATATCTCCTTTATTATTATATTTTGAGTCTTTTGGTTATTTACATTTATTATTGGGATGCTGGAGAAGGAGCGAGAAAAAGAAAACTTGATATTCTTTTCTGAAAAAGAACTGGTAGGGACTAAGGAAGGGGAAAAAATATAGAAGAGAAATTTTACAGTGTGTGAGACTTGCCACATCATACTTGAGTGAGGCTATTTATCGTTTGACATGGAGCCATGGACCCCACCCTTCATCATCATTCTCTCCCTCATTCTTGACCGACATTCTCACTCCCGGATTCATCTTCTCAATTTTCTTTATTCTTCTCCACTTCTCCTCAGCACAAACAATTGATTATTTTCAACTATACCAAAATTGTAAGGTAAATTGATGATAATTAAATTAACATTTTTTTCCTAACTTCACACACACTTGGAGCAAGTGCAGATTTCAAGCAATTTTCTTTTTCTGTTTTACTCATTTTTGGCATGTGTACATCTATGGCTGTGCAGCTTTATAAATTTTGAGCGAAAATATTATTTAGGCATCTTTTTTCAAATTATAAGCAAAATAGTCGAAGAGTACTCTCTTTCTTCAGAAAGTAGAATTACAGCCATCTGCCCCTTCTTCATGAATTTCTCTACCCCTTTTGAATGCAATGGGGTATGAGACATAAGAAATGTCTTATCTCATCCTTATTCTTCGAATTGAGCTTTTTTGGCATTTGCTCATTGATTAAGCTAATTAACTTTAATTTTGTGAAGAGCTTCTGCTTCAAAATTCATTCTTTTTGTTGTTATCCTGGGTCTTGTGTTTCTGACATGTGATTGAAATATTTCATAAATTCAAACCTTTTTATTTTGGGTACAAAGTTCAGTGGGAAGAAGAGCTAACCGAATGGATTTGTAAAAAAATATTAATTATAGGACTTATAACAAGGAAGAGGATATATAGGGGGTGAAGTCCGTGGGGAGGAGAATGAATTAGAAGAAAAAAAATGAGGAATGACCAGAAGTGAGATAGGTAATTGTGACTGAAAGTGATGGTGTAGGGTGGGTCCATGCTCCATTGTCAAACATAAATAGCCTCACTCAAGTATGATGTGGCAAGTCTCACACATTGTAAAATTTCTCAATATAGAAGGAAAGGACTAGATAAATAGGTAAACAAAAAAAATCAATGGAAAAAAATTATCACAGAAGAGATTCATGTACAGCTTGATTCCTTGGATTTGGGAGTCATGGTTTCGCTTTTTCCTTTTTCTTTTTTGTCTTTTACTTTATATACTTTAAGAATTGATTTATATTACCTTTTTTATTAGCCTTATACACATGGTTTTAATATTAATTGTTTTTAGAAGTAAACAATAATAGTAGACTGCACATTTATTGAAGAAAGATAAGAGTAAATTAATCAAAGAATACTTCTTATTAGGAAAACATATCATATATATAGATTATTATACAAAATCTAAGTATCTCTAGAACTTTTAGAAGTATCTAATTGAAGTATTAATAATAAGATGTATAACTTGAAATTTTTTAGTTTATGAAGTTTACTAAACTGCGTGAAGCGCGGACAAATTAACTAGTTATTATAATAATTATGTATTTGATTTGGATAAGTTATCGCCTGATCTAAGTCACGTTTGAATACATAAGTCGGTAGGGTAGAATTAATTTTGTCCTGGCTGCATATCTTATTGGGTGAAAATGTTATTCCTCTTAAAATATCAAATTTCTCATCCAACTTTAAAAAATAGACAATTTAAAATATTTTTAATTCACCAACCAAATACCAGAAAATATTTTTTATAAAATAGTTTTTCTATAATAAATAACTTCCAAGGGGCGTGATGTAGATAGCATACACTAATGCATGTATTAGTGGCTGCTTCCACTGCTCGAACCCCTGACCTATAAACTTTACCGTTGCTAGTTGATACAAGGAGGTAAAAGAAATCTGAAAAGAACAAATCCTTTACTAATGTCATGGCAGATCATAGTGGTACCTGACCAGTGTAGTTGTCAACTTGTCATATGCATATGAGGTGACAAATAATCAAATTAATTGCAAAGAATGAATATAGTTACATTATAACAAGGTTATATTTCTACACAACCATCATCATCGTCATCATTTTCACTATCATTATCCCAGTCCAGCGTGTAAGATCCCGCTGACTTCATCAATTCTGTTAGTCCAGTTAGATCCTCCAGATATGTTGGATGATTGATCGCTTCAAGTACGAAGTCCATCCCTCTCGTCTGATATTCCGATACCACCTGAGTACAACGAATTCACGTGTATTACTATAAAAGCATATAAAAGAGAGCGCAGACGAGGATGATTAATGCTTTCAACAATCAACTTTGTAATCATAAACTGTACTAATTTGCTGAAAAAGTGATGGTCAGAATGTATAGTGTAATAATAGTTCAGGGGCCTTGAATGCTGTAACTTACAGTGGAGCAACAAGCAGTGCAACAAGTTGAAGCGTGACCAACGAGTGTCATCTGAGAAAACTGAGAGAGGGAACCCCGAATCTGATGGGGTAGAATGCCAAGAGGTTGTGCAGTGCTACCGTTATCATTAGAGTTTGCAAACTCAGCTTTGGCATATATTCTGCAAACCATAGTTAAGTAAGAAGTGCTAAAATGCTGGATGAAATATAATTTGCATGTATATCAGAATAATAGTTAAGAATTTACCCAGAAGGATGATGCAAAACTCCAACCAAAAGTTCAACAGCCAGGGCTGATGCAATAGGAGCAAGCCCCGGACGAGTAACTGTACATTGTTGGTCCAGGGTACGATTGGCAGTTGACTGCATAAACACAAAAAGAAAACATTCATATTTGTAGATATCGCAATCATACAGTTACCATCACTTTCATGCAAGAATATTACATCAATTGGTGCAACCACATCATTGCAGAAGTAACACCCCAATCTCTGCGACCCATTTTGACTTGAGAGGGAGAGATTCTCCATACTAGCAGTGACATTATTTGACGTGTCAGCTTGTGAGTTTCGTGTAGCACCCACAGGACCTGCTCCATGACGCATGACTAGAAAGCTATCAAAGCCTAAGGCTGCATTAATAGTAATCTGCAGAGAGGAAAATAGACACATGTAATAATCAAGTAAGAATTTAGCTGGCACTTGTGAATACAATATCACATGCAACATACTAGTCTCAGAAACTTCACAAGAGAAAGTAAAGGTGTGTAAAACCTTGTTAGCACTTGCACAAACTAGACTAGGAAGCCACCGACTTTCCCGTGTATCAGTTAATAGAAAGATTGCATCATGTGAGTTAATCAAATCAGACAAACGTCTGCAGTCCTTAAGTATATTACTTTCTTCTTGGCTAGGGACTGGATGTCCAGGCATTGGAATAGCCATTACAACACCTTCTGCTTCCTGTCAAGAAATTAAGATGTGTCAAAATATGAATCTATCTTTTCTCGATATCTTGAATTATTTTATTTGATTCTTTGAGGTCTCAGTAATGGACCAATACCACTGCTGGAAATATTCGCTTGAGACTTTCAACTGCTGCAACGGCCTTAAATTTTCCACCATTTAGACAATCATCAAGCACATAAAGAGACTGCCTTAGTGGATTAGACATTGAGACCTTCCCACTGTCAAGCAATGTGATTTTTCGGACGCCCCATGCCTACAAAAGTACAGAAGTCTGATAAGCAATTTCAGAAATTTTTACACAATTATTGCTTCCATTTTCTATTCACTTACCATAAGCATTCGAGCAACCTGGCATCCTAGTGTACCTGCTCCCAGGAGGAGACATTTCATAGCCGCCAACATGTCGAGATTCAACGAAGGCAATGTGCGCCATCTCATTAGTTTCAAGTTCAAATCAGCAGCTGATACAGCCAACCTGGAAAAACATGACAGATTCCTAAGATGACCACCAAACTATTCATACAATAATCAGTACTTGTTTATGTGTACCTTGTCGGATCCATCGTTTTAGCAAGGCTGATGCACCTCGAAACCTTCTTCCCTCTATTTAGTTCCCATCCCACAGCGTTAGGCATGTTCTGATGATTCCTCCATCCTAAATAGATTATCATTATGGCCGCGTAGAAGATATGACTTTTTACTATTTATAAATGAAGCATAAATCAGATACCAAAACCTATTACCAGTGCTCTACCTGGTGAAAGAGATATTTCAGCTTCTCCAACAAGCGACAATCCCAGATCTGCAAAACCACGGTTCTCACGGTAGCAGAAAAAGTGAATCTTTCCGAGGCCCCACCTTAAATAGATATAGGCAAGATAATTGCGAAGTGGCCATCCAGGATTACTTGGAAGATGACAAGGGTCATAAAAACCAAAAAGAACCTGCTAATTGTAAACAAGGTATTTACGTCAAAGATATGAAGTGAGATTACACAGCAACTAAACAGCCCTAACACTTGGTTAAGATTGAAACAACATAAAAAGGGAATGGCCAAACCTTTTGAACATTAGTTTGGCAGGTTTCCCACTCCCTCAGATGCCTAATAGTAACAATTGAATCCGAACCAACAGACACCAGAAAGAATGGTATATCTGCATTCCACTAATGCTTCAGTTACCGGAAAAAGAAATGTCAAAAACTGTGACCTTTAAAGATTATAGGATAGTTAGCTCCAGGAACTTTTACCTGCAGTGGAGCTCATGCTACGCCACTCATTACAAGCTCTAGACAGAAATTCAGCCTGTTTGCCATAACAATCAATTTTGAGAAAAATATATCTGAACTGTGAACGAACAAAGTTTAAATGATCGTTCAAGAGAAAAGAACCTCTTCAGAAGTGAAGCATTGGGAAGCTGGCTTCAAATTAACCAGAGTTGCAGGAGGATCAAGCACCAAAGCAGGGAACGCAAACCAATAATGAAAACTCCATTTTTTCAGGTCTGCAAATGATATAACTAGGAACCTTAAGAGCACAGAAGTGTCCTCCTCAACTTTGCCCGAGTAAATATCATCCCATATCTGATTCAAAAACTATCACGGTGAGATGATACATATTAATAAGCTACGTAATAACAGAGTTCAGAAGAAGTTTCACTTAATATGTGAAATAAGTAGTCCGGTATATTTGAGAAAAAAGTATTTTATTATTATTGTACCTTGTTGGCTTCTGCTTTAAGTAGGCTCTGCTTATCAAGCGCGTAGAAGCTTTCTAACGTGTTTGTATTGAGAAGAATGCCAGGGACAGGACACCTATTTCTGTTTCCCTGACTAGCTGGAAGAGACGACGATTCCTCACCGGACTCATCAGGTAATGATTCAGCAAGAAGAGTCAAGTGATTTGATAGTTGAGGATGTGAGCAAGGTGCATAAAAACCTGCACAAAAAACAATTCAAACCAGTAGGAACAAACACTATAAACCCAAAAAGCTACAACCTTTATTTCTGAAAAAGGGTAGAAAACTCAGTAACACCCCCCACCCCCCGAAAAAAAACAAGAAGGAAAGAGCTTGACACAGTGATAATAACAATGAGATAAACCAGAAACATGAATTCAAAGAGGGGAACTACATTGTTGAATTCGAACAAAAGGGTAACTTTTAAATAGCAAAGAACAATTCAGAAACAAATAAAAAAAAAATCAAGTAATAATTACAGAAGCTATATAATTTGCAATTGGAAAGAAAGATAAAGGATAAAGAAAAAGAAGAAGAGGGGAAGAAGCATACCAGTAATAGGAATAGGGGAATCATCAAGGCGCAACTTATTGAGCTTTAAAGAAGATAATTTATGCCAGAACCCTTCATCTACTGAACTCTGAAAGGGTGCAAATTGAAGAATTGTTCCTCTTCCGCTATCCGCCATGAATAAAAATCTTGCTTTATTGGAAACTCCGTTGCTCAATTTGGAGCTTCTCTCTCTTTATACTTGTAAGTATTTTGTAGACTTCGTTGACCTCTCTTGCTGAGGCTTTGATTCATACCTTTGCACAAAAGAAGCAAAGATCGGAATTTTAAGAAAGAAGGTTACAACGAGGAGAAAAGAAACTTTGCCAATTTTTTATTTTAATTTTTAATCCGCCGAACTACTCTATATTTTACTTTCAATTTTTTGCAGAATAGGCTAAATGACACTTATACTTGTACCACTTTGTTATCCCGGTTCCCAAACTTGATGAAGTTTCATCTAGATACCTCTACTCGTTCAAAAGTAATATTTTAAACCCCTCTGACCATTGACCAAGTCTATGTGGCAACTTAATCGCTGAACCAGACAAAATCGTGTATTTCACGCATATAAGGAGCGTGAACGTAAAAAATTTATGATTAAAATAAGGAAAAAAGAAAAAGAAAAATTCAAAAAATCAAATTAGAAAAGAAAGAAAAGGCCAAATAGGTGATTTTTCTCTTTCTCTAATGTTCTGTCGCCCACCAAGGACGCCCCCCTCCCCCCTTCACTGTCTCCCTCCCTTCTTCACTTTGCTCCTCTTCCCCCATTTTAACCCAAAACCCACAACAACGGTACCCTCCCCACCATATCTTCATCCAAACAATGACATCCCTCGTCGCTATAGATCCAAAACATGTACCAGATTTGCATCAATTTTTGGGGAGTTTTTTTTCTCACACCCTATTCCCTACTTTGGAAGATAGCCTTTGCAAAGAAAAGAAATAGAAATAATGAAAGAAGATCGCCGGTGAAACCTATTTTCTAGTTTTCTTGTAGTGAAATTTCAAAAAAATTTGGGTGATGTTGGTCTTTCGGGTGGTCATTATTGATGGCCGGTTTAGCTTTTGGTGGTTGATTGGTGATGCTATGGTGGAATGTTGGCTGTGAAGAAGCTTTGTAGGTGAAGGATGGTCGAAGAGGGGTCGCACACAGTGATGGTTAGGAGATTTTTAAAATTTGTGAATGGAGAATAAAAATGGTGAGGGAGGAGGAAGATGGAGTAAATGGTGGAATAAAAGAAAAGGAAATGAATAATTTTAAAATAATGTGAAAAATAAGTTATAATGATGTGCAACAAAAAATTTGACGTGGCCACTGATGTGTCATCCATGTCAGAGATTTGAAGAACACTCGAGGTGAGAGGGGTTTAAAATATTGGCTTTGAACAACTATAAGTGTCTGGATGAATCTTCTTTGAGTATAGGGACCGGGATGACAAACGCTAACAAGTACAAGTGCCTACGAGTCTATTCTGCCCTTTCAATTACTAATAGAGTTGTGTCTTTGTTTTGTCTGCACTCTGTAGTGGAAAATTAGATTTTAAATAGAATGTTATATAATTTAAAATAAGGAGTAAAATTATCAAGGTTTGTTTGGTTTGACGTATGAAAAAAGAATAATCATGATATAAAATTTAATATTATTTTATTTCCTATTTTGGTTTGTATCTTGAAACCGAGTGTCTCACGCATCAAATTGTTGAAAGCGTGAATGGTTAAACTCTCCCTTTTCCGAGTCCGGAACCAAAATGTTGTTATTTTGGACTCAAAAGACACAAATAAGTGTAAAAAACAAAAGGTGACCATAATATATATAACGCCAGGTTTTC